TTCTAGAACATCCTGATTAGATCAACTTTGCATGATTGAAGAATCAGCACATGAAACTCTTCACAACGCAGTATTCTCCTCCGTCAAACGTGCAAATTCAGAATACCAGATTTATACAGTGAAAAATCGTTTTAGCCAATATGGGCATTAATAATTATCTTCGCCGAAGATCACCATGTCGAATTCTGGTAAGTTATTGTTGCGAGAAAACAATTCCGTCACCATCATCTCAAAAATTAACACAGAAAACAGTTGAACCTCGTCTTCAAGTTGAACTTGTTGTCAAGGGAAAATAAAAATTTCGAGTCACAGAGGTTTCAAGTTGTTGGAACACAAGCATTTGCATTAGTGCTGGGAAAGAAAGAAGAATATTGCAGGAAATTGTAATTGAAGATTTTCTACGCTTTGAATTGTTTTTTAATGAGTTGAGAGGATGCTGAATTTGGCCAAGGTTTATTTACTGCCCAATCAATCCATCACTTATCCAACATGGTGCAGCACTTCTGCCTGGCACTGGCTTGTGATCCAAAAAATTGAACACTTTTTAATGTTTTGTTTCTGATGGAATTCAGACACGGATCCACAAAATTGACAAGTGTAGGTACTGCCATGCCTCAGATGTGCACTTGGGTCAAGTTGCGACATCTAGGCTCACGCGAAGAGTTCTACCTGTTCAACACGCACTTGGACTACGTGAGCCGCGAGGCGCAGATCAAAGGCGCCTCTCTCATCGCCAAACGCATGCAGGCAGAAGGCGGCAAGACCGCCAATCTAATTCTCACCGGCGACCTCAACTCAGTCCGATACGAAACACCTTGGAATATTCTCATGGGGAAGGCAGTGGGTTCTCGGGCCGTGACCCAGCTTGACATGAAAGATGCTTGGATGACTGCTGAGGAGAAAAGAAACGACGTAGATAATACGTTGCACGAATCGATGAGCGTCGCATACCAGGGTCATAACGGCAGTGATCACATTGACTACGTTCTGTACAGATCCGCAGATGACGGGAACGTTTGGCGGACAAAGTTTGCCATGATCGTCATGGACCATGATGACGAGAACTATGTCTATCCGTCCGACCATTATCCAGTTCTTGTCGAATTTTCCATCAACGAGCCGAAAAATTCGTCGACATCTGAGACGAATACAGAATCTTCAGCAGCCATTTCTCAGAATAAGACGTCACTTGAGGATGAAATCAATTTGTTTGAGTGAAAATTGTAAATTAATTGAGTGCTAGTTGTTTGTGCTGTCACGTAGGTCCCACTGATGATGTCATTGAAGCACACAAATGCGAGATTTTTAAAAATGTGCACATACTAGCAATTTGAGCAAAAAAATGTTGTCTGTGAGAAATACAATTATTTTCCATGAGCTGCAGTGGATTTCTATCGTAGATGAATATCTGGATGCTTCGCTTCATTTAATTTTATTTTCAAAGATTTTAAGTAGGATAAGACGTGCTAAAAACATGTCCGATAGAGGAGACACTTCTATTAAAAAGGGCATTTCATTGGAAAATTTGCTTCCTTCACCTCAATTCTCAAACAGCAAGCATTTTAAATTTTGAAAAGATGGGATTTATCATGTTTTGATTAATTATTTTCACTGAAGGTGACTTAAAACTGATCGTAGAACTAAAAATATATTCCGAAGGGTAATTTTTTCTTCAAATTCAAAACTTTCTGAAATGACGTGATGATGCAAGTTGTGTCCTTTCGCATTTCGCAATACAAATACATTGCAAAAAATGCAACAGAGATTCAATGCATTATTACAACTAACCAAAATCAATGAACATACAACAAAAATTACATTTTCTTGGTTTTCTGTCACGAATCTTTTCAATCTAGCAATAATTGCGGAAAGGATAATTTCAAAATGAATGCCAAAAACAAAGCATTGTCTTTTCTTACTCGCAATTTAAATAAAAAATGAAATGTTTTTCCAACTCCTGATTTTGTTTTAGAAATACGAGATATTCACAATGATATACATTGCAGTATTAGCAAAGCTGTCCCTGAAAAAGGCCCGAGCTACTTTCAGCAAAGAAAATCAGCAAATGGTGGAGGCAATGTGAGATTTTCGGAGGAAAACTGACAAGAAAATAAACAAAACGAGAGCTGTGGGATTTTGCCGCATCAGCAATGAAAATTGGGCTGCGGAAAAACCTACATCTTGGAGTGAAAGTAATTGTCAGACTGTGTATCGGGGTTTGTTCCATTCCCCAGGAAAACAAATGGAAATAAATTCCCTGACTATGGGGGTGAAAGATCATTGAACTTTGGCCATGCTTCTCCCCCTCCTTGACAAAACCTTGAGTGTCTGCTTCCCCCAGCTGCTCCCAGCTGTTGGCAAGCAAGAATTGCCCTTTCTTGCACTCAGAGTTCAGATGCCCCTCAAATAAGGGACATCTTCCCAAAGAAAGGCCCAGGAGATTCATTTTGTGTGAATGGGTGTATTGTAAATTAATTGTTAAATCTTCAAAAATTGACATAAATCAGCAAAAACTTGTGTGTTGACGTACCATTGTGTTTTCCACCTATGATCCAATTTAGTTTGCATTTGGTTTTTAACTTTGCGAGAAATTGCAGTTTTAGTTTTACAAACTTGTGAATTTTCTTCAGTTTATTGTTCAAAACAATGTTCTTAACTTTCCAAATTTTTGTGGTAGGGCATTCAAATTTCAGCTCCACAAAGGAAACAATGTTGGTGTGCATGTAAAAAAACATTGGAAAAACCTTTTCAGTGGTTTTTTTTAAATTCCAAAAGTTAGCATATGCAGAATTTTCCCATGTGAAAATATGTGCTCATGTTTTTTTCATTATGTTTCCTGTTTGAGTATTAGAACCATTGTACAAGGGCAGTACAAAATCACCTGAGCATATAATCCAAAACAAGGTGGTTATCCATTCAAAGTACCATGCAATGTCTCTTCTAAGAAAATCCTCAAACAAATAGCACAAAACCAACAGGCAACTTGTTGAAGAGTCCTGAGTAAATCAAATCAAAGTAATTTACTCTAAATACTTTGACAAGTAATAAAATGCAAAAATGCTATGAAATTTGAAAATATTCATTTTTTGTTCTAAAGTGAAACAGGTTTGTTGATGTCCAAATTTTTCAGGGGAAAATAAATGTGAAAAAAACAAATGCTTTAAACTTTTAAAATATTGATCTGTGATCTTCATCATCTACTACGTCCAACTTTGAGTATAGGACATCCTTATGGTAGCGGCTGTCTTAAAAATTAGAAAACATCCTGAATAAGTAAGCTATCCGTTGTCGGAAAAACAGCACTTGAAACAGAAAAAGACGCACTTTTGCGAGATAAATTCCAGATTCTCGGAGAATTCAGTTTTACCGTGATTCAGAATAGTCTGCGAAGTTAATTTCTCGAAATGTCGCCTCTCAGTAAAGGAACATTGAGAGGAAAAACCTTCGATAAAAATCCTCCCAGAAACATTTATTCGTGTTCTACTTTTCCTTTGCTTGAGCTTTAGGACAAGAAGTGCTTGTTTCACAATTTTACTATTCGGTGTCTTCGGAAACCAACGGATATCTTGCAACAGGTTCATCAGATTACAATGGCAACAGCTTCCGCGTGAAATCGTTTCTGGATTTGGCATTTTATTGCTCTTGGGGACTAACCTGAAGCTTCTGACTTCGCAATTTTCCAAAATGCATGCCAATGTCAAGATTATGACGTTCAACTTGCGGGCATCGTATTTAGAAGACGGGTTGAATGACTGGGAACAGAGGAAAAATCTGGTCGTGAAAATGCTTCGAAAATACGAACCGAACGTGATTGGCACACAGGAGGCCACACGAGAGCAGCTCCAGTTTTTGCGCGCCGAATTGCCGCACTATCGGGCAGTGGGTGAGTTCAGAGACGATTCCGAAAACGCTGAATCTGTTGCTGTGTTCTTCGATCGAAAATTGCTGGAGCTTGTGAAGCACGAGGACTTTTGGCTTTCGGAAACGCCTGAAATACCAGGTGAGAGTTACCAAAAGACTGTATAATTTACGCTGATTTATTTTGGCATCAGCAGCATATATCCGAAGGTTTGTCCCAGTTGGATGGACCTTGGATATATTTTGAGTAGGTGTAATTGAAAAAAAGATCATGACATAGCTTATCAAAATTTTTTTTCGGATTTTTAAAAATGTTTTTCAATTTACTGCATGATGATCAGTGAAAACTTTCCAGTTACAGCCGGAGTTCTCCACTGCAATGTTGCCATTGCATTTTTGCAAGAGAATAAAATATGAGAGCGGAAGAAAGGTCAACTCGTATTTCAATCCTAGGTTTTCATCAATATTAACTTCCAAGACTCGACTTAACAAGGCTAAAGCAGTAATTATTTTCTGGCGAATAGCAATTTTTATGGACTGCAAATTTGAGAGTATGAGGTACGTTTGTCAAACTTTTGCTGGGCACTGAATCAATGACGACGAAGAAAATTGGGCGAAAATTTTTTTTTATTGATTAAAGGTGAAAAAATGGCACATGATTATGTGTCTGATGATCCTTTTGTACTGAAATAACTCATTAACAAATAATTAGGGGAACCAATTAACCCGGCATCCTCAGTATTTCGGATTGATTCATTCAATTAAAAACTTTTACTGTATAAGTACGAATATAATTCGTAATTTTACCTGCGCTTTTTCCCTGTAAATGCAGGAAGCAAGTCTTGGGACTCTTCCCTGCCTCGGATGTGCACTTGGGTCAAGCTGCGACATCTAGTTTCCGGTGAAGAGTTCAGCCTATTCAACACGCACTTGGATCACGTGAGCCGCCAGGCGCAGATCAAAGGCGCCTCTCTTATTGCTCGTCGCATGCAGGAACAAATATTCAGTTCCGAGGCTTCTTCTGCCACAAATATGTATTTCACCGGCGACCTCAACTCAGTCAGAAAAGAATTACCCTGGCAGATTCTGACGGGTTCAGGTGTGCTGAGTAATCATCGTCATTCCAGCACTTGTCTCCAGCTAGAAGATGCGTGGAAAACTGCCACGAAAAAATTCAACCAAGTCGACGAAACGTTCCACGGATTTCTGGGTTCCAGGGATTCCGGAAATGACGGCAGCGGTCACATCGATTACATTTTGTATCGATCAGTCCATGGGAATAATTGGCGTCCGAAGTCTTTTACTATTATCGTGGAGAAAGAAGGCGATGTGTATCCATCAGACCATTATCCCGTATTAGCTGAATTTCATTTCGAGGATCAGCAAAATTCAGAATCAGATGAAAAGAAGGATGTACCCGAAAGAACAAATTATTTCTTGTGAGCGAGCGAGCGGCACGTTGTGCAATTGAGTTAGAACATCTCAATTGAGGATTTGTAGCTTGTTCACTAGATGCCGCTAGCATTGGGCTAACTCAACACGCAACCGATGCCGCTCGTACACTCGGAAAAATCCTCAAATTTTAGCAGGCAGTAAAATGCAATTATTGTCATTCACATGTCCAAATGTCTTTTGCTGGAGCTTTGCGACAGAGAGGCACAATATAATATTGTTGTGAATATATTGGATATCATCGTTGATTTTTATGCATCAGTGCGTGAGGTAACAACATCTGTTCGCACTTNAATCTTTGTGGACTTGTACAGAAATTGTAACCTTTACAGACATTACGAAATTCTATACCCTCCTTTTTCTGAGTGATGTGAACATAAGTCTTTCCAACTCTGGAACACTTGTCATAATCTTCTTTTGAAATCCCTCTTAAAATCAATTTCTTGAAATGAATAATTGTGAATAAAGCTCTTTTTTCCATCTCTGGAACAAAAATTATAACCAAAGATTGGAGACCTATCAAAATTTTGTTGTGAACAAGAAAACCTCATCAAACTTTTGGGAAAACCTAATTGTTTTTAGTGCTTTTGTGTGTTTGTACTGTGTGCCAAAATCACCTGAGTCCAGTTCTGGAGCACTCTTGCATTTTTTGCGGGAAAAGAAGGTGCTGGCGACACAGTCCAAATTTTGTCGTCAAAGCGATTTCGTTGCATCGTGAATCTCGTACTTTGCGGAAAAACCCAAAAACTCTGTGAAAAACTGTTGTGAATATTTTTTACTGCAGGAAACTGTTGTGCATATTTGTGTCTTGCTTATCTACTTTCTGTTGAATTATTTGAACAAAGGCTTGCGCTTTTTGGGAGAGAATCCCTGGTTGGTTCGCGCACCGACCAATTGTTGTGTTGAATTTATTTTCTTCATATCTTACTTGTCTTCAAAGAATTATCTTTTAATTCCTGACTTATAAGTACCAAACTAAAATCTTGTCAACTTAAATTATTCTAAACAGTACTTGCAAGGTGTAGGGCTTGCTCTAATTTATTTCTCTTCTCAAATAAAACCGTACAAGCAGCTCCAGTTTTTGCGCGCCGAATTGCCGCACTATTGGACAGTGGGTGAGTTCAGAGACGATTCCGAAAACGCTGAATCTGTTGCGGTGTTTTTTTTATCAAAAATTGCTGGAGCTTGTGAAACAGGAGGACTTTTGGCTTTCGGAAACGCCTGAAATACCAGGTGAGAGTTACCAAAAGACTGTATAATTTACGCTGATTTATTTTGGCATCAGCAGCATATATCCGAAGGTTTGTCCCAGTTGGATGGACACGAGGACTTTTGGCTTTCGGAAACGCCTGAAATACCAGGTGAGAGTTACCAAAAGACTGTATAATTTACGCTGATTTATTTTGGCATCAGCAGCATATATCCGAAGGTTTGTCCCAGTTGGATGGACCTTGGATATATTTTGAGTAGGTGTAATTGAAAAAAAGATCATGACATAGCTTATCAAAATTTTTTTTCGGATTTTTAAAAATGTTTTTCAATTTACTGCATGATGATCAGTGAAAACTTTCCAGTTACAGCCAGAGTTCTCCACTGCAATGTTGCCATTGAATTTTTGCAAGAGAATAAAATATGAGAGCGGAAGAAAGGTCAACTCGTATTTCAATGCTAGGTTTTCATCAATATTAACTTCCGAGACTCGACTTCACAAGGTTAAAGCAGCAGTAATTATTTTCTGGCGAATAGCAATTCTTATGGACTGCAAATTTGAGCATATGAGGCACGTTTGTCAAACTTTTGCTGGGCACTAAATTAATGACGACGAAGAAAATTTTGCAAAAAGTTTTTTTTATTGATTGAAGGTGAAAAAATGGCACATGATTATGTGTCTGATGCTCCTGCTGTTCTGAAATAACTCATTAAAAATAATTAGGAGAACCAATTAACCCGGCATCCTCAGTATTTCGGATTGATAGATTTTATTAAAAACTGTTACTGCTGTATTAGCACGAATATCAATCGTCATTTTATCTGCGCTTTTCCCTGTAAATGCAGGAAGCAAGTCTTGGGACTCTTCCCTGCCTCGGATGTGCACTTGGGTCAAGCTGCGACATCTAGTTTCCGGTGAAGAGTTCTGCCTATTCAACACGCACTTGGATCACGTGAGCCGCCAGGCGCAGATCGAAGGCGCCTCTCTTATTGCTCGTTGCATGCAGGAACAAATATTCAGTTCCGAGGCTTCTACTGCCACAAATATGTATTTCACCGGCGACCTCAACTCAGTCAGAAAAGAATTACCCTGGCAGATTCTGACGGGTTCAGGTGTGCTGAGTAATCATCGTCATTCCAGCACTTGTCTCCAGCTAGAAGATGCGTGGAAAACTGCCACGAAAAAATTCAACCAAGTCGACGAAACGTTCCACGGATTTCTGGGTTCCAGGGATTCCGGAAATGACGGCAGCGGTCACATTGATTACATTTTGTATCGATCAGTCTATGGGAATAATTGGCGTCCGAAGTCTTTTACTATTATCGTGGAGAAAGAAGGCGATGTGTATCCATCAGACCATTATCCCGTATTAGCTGAATTTCATTTCGAGGATCAGCAAAATTCAGAATCAGATGAAAAGAAGGATGTACCCGAAAGAACAAATTATTTCTTGTGAGCGAGCGAGCGGCACGTTGTGCAATTGAGTTAGAACATCTCAATTGAGGATTTGTAGCTTGTTCACTAGATGCCGCTAGCATTGGGCTAACTCAACACGCAACCGATACCGCTCGTACACTCGGAAAAATCCTCAAATTTTAGCAGGCAGTAAAATGCAATTATTGTCATTCACATGTCCAAATGTCTTTTGCTGGAGCTTTGCGACAGAGAGGCACAATATAATATTGTTGTGAATATATTGGAAATCATCGTTGATTTTTATGCATCAGCGCGTGAGGTAACAACATCTGTTCGCACTTTTGCAGTGATGGATTCTTTGAAACATTTTGGAGAAGGTCAAATTTTCTTTTGCCGTAAAATTCTGATTTGATGCAGTATAGACTAGATTCTTTTCTGCGTCCGTGCTGAGGATGATGCCAAAATATTTCGGTGACACGCTCAACTGAGCATTTCCATTTTTGAATTATGGAGGAAATGAGATGTGTTTCAATATGCTATTCATAAATTCATTCATAGGAAAAACAAAGGAATTCACAAAATTCCCAGAAGGGCTTCCACATCTGAACTCCCTGGTTAAACCCATTTTACCAGAGCATTGTAAAAATTTTCGGAATTTAATGCATATTTCATGAAACTTGATGATGGGACCTCTTGAAAGACCTTTCATAAAATGTACGCATGGAAAATCCAATAAAAATCTCCATTTTCTTCATCCCATTTTCAAATTGAATTTGTTTAAGCATAAAACAGATAAAAGAAAAACACTGGCTGCCTTCTCTTCATGCACATCAAGTAAACGAGTCCAAACAGTCAATGAATCGATCAAAACCACACACTTTTTGTTGTTGTCTAAGAAACAAGCGAACACGTCATTCGAGGATCAGCAAAATTCAGAATCAGATGAAAAGAAGGATGTACCCGAAAGAACAAATTATTTCTTGTGAGCGAGCGAGCGGCACGTTGTGCAATTGAGTTAGAACATCTCAATTGAGGATTTGTGCCTTGTTCACTAGATGCCGCTAGCTTCGAGCAATCTCGACATGTAACTGATGCCGCTCGTACATTCAGAAAAATCCTCAAATTTTAAAACAGGCAGTAAAATGCAATTATTGTCATTCACATTTTCAAATGTCTTTTGCTCGAGCTTTGCGACAGAGAGGCACAATATAATATTGTTGTCAGTATATTGGATATCATCGTTGATTTTTATGCATCAGTGCTGCGTGAGGTAACAACATCTGTTCGCACTTCTGCAGTGATGGATTCTTTGAAAAATTTTGGAGAAGGTAAAACTTTCTTTTGGAGTAAAATTCGGATTTGATGCAGTACAGACTAGATTCTTTTCTGCGTCCGTGCTGAGCACACCGCCAAAATATTTCGGTGACACGCTCAATTGAGCATTTCCATTTTCGAATTATGGAGGAAATGATATGTTTTTCAATATGCTATTCATAAATTCATTCATAGGAAAAACAAAGGAATTCACAAAATTCCCAGAAGGGCTTCCACATCAGAACACCCAGGTTAAGCAAATTTCATGAGAGCGTTGTAAACATTTTCGTAATTTAATGAAAATTTCATGAAACTTGATGATGGGAACTCTTGAAAGACCGTTGATAAAATGTACGCATGGAAAATCCAATAAAAATCTCCATTTTCTTCATCCCATTTTCAAATTGAATTTGTTTAAGCATTAAACAGATAAAAGAAAAACACTGGCTGCCTTCTCTTCATGCACATCAAGTAAACGAGTCCAAACAGTCAATGAATCGATCAAAACCACACACTTTTTGTTGTTGTCTAAGAAACAAGCGAACACGTCGAATAAAGAACGCGACATTCCTTCCAACAGCTCCTCCATGGTCAGGAAAAGCTGCATTTGAAAGAAGAAGAAAAAAAATTGGGTACAAAGTAGTTTTTTTCTCGTCTGGGTATAGAGGTTACATTTGAGACTTTTTCTTTTCTTTTTTGGTATTTTTTCTACTTGTTGATTCACGTTCTAATTGACCCAAAAATTGAAAATATATTCCAGTGAGTTAATGATGCAAAATCCTGAAAACGAGATGAGATAATGTGGGGCAGTAAGAAAGAAGGAAACAATTCCAACAAATTACTTTCAACAGTATAATGTGTGGTTGATGCTTTGGAAATAATAAAGGATTTTTTCACCTTTTATTCACTCCAAATTCAAGTATTTTCCAGAGGATGTTGAAAAACTTTTGCTCTTGTCATCTTGCACATTATGACAGGTAACAAACATTGGTATGAGGGTGGCAATAATTTGCTCCTACATCAGAAACATCTCAGGTAGAAAAAATGAATTTAAGAACTTTATTCTCCTCAGGCACCACTCTTGTCATCTTGCACATTATGACAGGTAACAAACATTGGTATGAGGGTGGCAATAATTTGCTCCTACATCAGAAACATCTCAGGTAGAAAAAATGAATTTAAGAACTTTATTCTCGTCAAGCACCAAGAAGGTTGATTTTGGGCACATAAAAGAACTGAAACAAAAAAGAACCAATGATGAAGACAAAATGGAAGAAATTTATCATGGGCAATCAGCTGGTTTACCACCATGAATATAAAGTATGTTCCAGGAGACACTTTGCAGCTTGAATTCCATGTTCATAGTTTTTCAGGATGATGTATGGTGTACCACATTTATTTGAGTACCATATGCCCTTGAGTAAGATGCACACAATGGCTTTTCAATCTAAGTTTGTTAAAAAATCTTATCCCCAAGTAAGACACACATCCAATCTTCAGTGTTTTTCAAATTACAGTACAATATTTGTATAAGTAAGACCACCCAAATTTGAATTTAGACATAAATTGATCAGCATGGATTCAACTAATTTTTAATTATTTCAATTTCAATACATTTTTTCTAGTATAAATGGATAAAACATGTCCCATTGAAATTAAATACTGTATAACCCAAATTTGAATTTAGACATAAATTGATCAGCATGGATTCAACTAATTTTTAATTATTTTAATTTCAATACATTTTTTCTAGTATAAATGAATTAAACATGTCCCATTGAAATTAAATACTGTATAATTCAAACCAAAATTGTTTGAAAAATGTATACCCATGTATGACAAGCACCCAGTTCTTTCCTCTTAAATTTGACAAAAAGGGGCATGTGGTACTAGAGTAAATTTGGTAATTTGATGGCATAGAAATGACAAAAAATTCACAAGAAATGCACCTCAAGTGAATAAAAATGAATTAGTACGCAAGTACAAACAAATATGTAAAATATAGGTATGTTTAGACTTAAAACAATTGAATACAGAGATTGCTCCTCATGCCATGAAGGTTATTTGAAGAACTGATGACTACTATTCAATCAAATTAGGAGTTTATGAAAGGAGAAATAAACCTCCATTGGATTTTGTCAATTTAATCTCTGCCCAACATAATTTGATGAAATACAGTACTAGAATTTGTTTCGTCTCTCCCATTTCTCACGTACAGTACTTCTGAGTTCTGACACAAATTTCATTCTGATGCATTCATAACTCTCCAAAATATTCAAATTTAGCGTGTTCATTAGTACGTGAACCATCATGTACCACTTGTTTTGTTTTTTCCTCTTTGTGTACGAAGGATATACGCATTAGTATTCGGAAGCCCACGTTCCGCGGACTTGACGCGTCCACTTCAATGGGCACATCACAATGTCAGCTGCCATGTCCACGATCTCACTCTGACCGAGTGGTGTTCGTGCTCAAGTTAGATGCTCGTCTAAATTCCGCTACCGCAAAATTTCCCGTGACATTTAAACACTTGCTCATAAAAAAAGGAGAAAAAAAAAATCTTATTTCCTCGTGCACGAAGCAATGATTACCAAACGCACACAGACGCCGGATAACCGAGTGGCTTTTTGATTTAAATTTTTCTTCATATTGATTCGAAAGAAGTGGAGCATAGTTGAAGAAAAAAATCTTATTTCCTCGTGCACGAAGCAATGATTACCAAACGCACACAGACGCCGGATAACCGATTGGCTTTTTGATTTAAATTTTTCTTCATATTGATTCGAAAGAAGTGGAGCATAGTTGAAGATTTGATGCAGAAAGCCCAGAACCTTTCTTAAAAATCAAGTTGCGTTTCTCAGCAGCAGCATTGTTAGTACTGTAAGTTGAACCACAAAAACGTTTAAAACCGCACATAAAATCACTTTTGAAATTGGAGTCATATAAATAGGGCTCACAGAAATTTTCAAAATGTATTCCAGGATTAACCGATTCTAAATAAGTGTTTGGATGAAGATGCATTTCATCTTTCAATGATGTATGGTTGTTTCAATTACAAGAAAAGAACGGAAAAATCTTCCTCAAAGAAGAGCTTTTGTGATATTTTTCCCGAAATTGCAAGTAACGCACGCGCAAAATAAGAATATGATTAGTACGTATGGAGATGAAATTAATCCCGAAAAAGGTTTTTCGTACACGTCTCTGCGGAGTTTTTTCAAAGTTTTCAAATATTTGGAATGAAATAAACAATATTTCATAGAGTTTGAGAAAGTGGAATTTTTAATAAAGAATCAATCGCGAAAGCACTAAAAAGTTGTCTTCTAGAATATTTTGTACGCGACAAAGTTGTCAGCCGATGAAAATGCACGTTTCCCGTACATGGATTTGAGAAACCATTCAACACACTGTGAAATGGCGCTAAAATTAGCCATTGCAGAACAAATTTCCATTTGTTTAACCCATGTGATTTGCTGGAGTTTTTTTTTAATTTCTGAAAAACCCAAAATAATAATATCAATAATAATTTCGCTTCCTGGGTTCTCCAAATGCTATGAAAATATTCAAGACCGCGTTCACTTCTGAAAACACTTTATATAATATTTAAAATGCACAACATTGTCAGCATACTGTATTTCTTCAGAGAGTACAGTAATACAATAGCATATATGATATAAAATTTATGTAGCCATCTCTGATGCAAAATTCGACATTTGCCCTCTTTTCAAAAAAGGTCTTTGAGATTACTTGCACCCCTAATGAGGACATCCTCACTATATCGCGAAAGTCTGTATCAAAATGTATTCTGGAACATCCTGATTAGATCAACTTTGCGTGATTGAAGAATCAGCAGATGAAACTCTTCACAACGCAGTGTTCTCCTGCGTCAAACGTGGAAAAATCAGAATACCAGATTTATACAGTGAAAAATTGTTTTCGCGGATATGGGCATTGAAAGGATCAATTATCTTTGCCAAAGATCACCATGTCGAATTCTGGTAAGTTATTGTTGCGAGATAAAAATTCCGTCACCATCATCTCAAAAATTAACACAGAAAACAGTTGAACCTCGTCTTCAAGTTGAACTTATTCTCGAGGGAAAATAAAAATTTCGAGTCAGAGAGGTTTCAAGTTGTTGGAACACAAACATTTGCATTAGAGCTGCTGGGAAAGAAAGAAGAATATTGCAGGACATTGTAATTGAAGATTTTGTATGCTTTGAATTGTTTTTAATGAGTTGAGAGGATGCTGAATTTGGCCAAGGTTTATTCACAGCCCAATCAATCCTTTACTTATCCTATATGGTGCAGCACTTCTGCCCTTGACTGGCTTGTGATACAAGAAATTGAACACTTTTTAATGCTTTGTTTCTGATGGAATTCGGACACGGATCCACAAAATTGACAAGTGCAGGCATTTAACTTGAAGGGAGGTCTTAGTTATGGTATTGAGGTTGAACGGTATCATGTTACACTTTTACCTGATTCAATTTTCGGATGAGATTTCTACTCTTATATTTGCGATTTTTTTTATTGATCAAACTGTGAGGAAATGGAACATGTCCTGTAGCAGGTTCAATTGATTGCAGAGGCGGAAACTCCAGCGAATAATTGGTCCTGTAGTGTTCTTGACTCCGTCTGCTGTGGTAATCTCGCTGTTTCTGTTATCTGCAAATCCTGGGCCAAGAGGGACGCCTGCGAAATTTACTGTGATGACATTCAATATTCTGGCAGCAAAGTTGACAAATGGATCAGATAGCTGGGAGCAGAGGAAAATGGCCGTTGTGAAAATGCTCCGTAAATACGAGCCTAACGTGATTGGCACACAGGAGGTGACGAAAGAGCAACTCCAGTTTTTGCTCGCCGAGTTTCCGCATTACAGGGCAGTGGGTGCGTTCAGAGACGATTCGGAAAACCCGGAATCTGTTTCAGTGTTCTACGACATTCGTGTCTTGGGGCTTTTGAAAAGCGGAGACTTTTGGCTTTCGGAAACNCAAAATATTCAAATTTAGCGTGTTCATTAGTACGTGAACCATCATGTACCACTTGTTTTGTTTTTTCCTCTTTGTGTACGAAGGATATACGCATTAGTATTCGGAAGCCCACGTTCCGCGGACTTGACGCGTCCACTTCAATGGGCACATCACAATGTCAGCTGCCATGTCCACGATCTCACTCTGACCGAGTGGTGTTCGTGCTCAAGTTAGATGCTCGTCTAAATTCCGCTACCGCAAAATTTCCCGTGACATTTAAACACTTGCTCATAAAAAAAGGAGAAAAAAAAAATCTTATTTCCTCGTGCACGAAGCAATGATTACCAAACGCACACAGACGCCGGATAACCGAGTGGCTTTTTGATTTAAATTTTTCTTCATATTGATTCGAAAGAAGTGGAGCATAGTTGAAGGTTTGATACAGAAAGCCCAGAACCTTTCTTAAAAATCAAATTTCGTTTCTCAGCAGGAGCATTGTTAGTACTGTATGTTGAACCAGAAACACGTTTAAAACCGCGCATAAAATTACTTTTGAAATTTTGTCCAAAAAGGAATAAAAAGTATTCGCTTGAACATTTTTGAATGATCGACCAGAACGAATCCATCATAATCTGTAGCGCTCGGATTAGAAGTTTTTTTTTTCAAAAATACTTTCAAATTTCGGTTTTTAAAGCTTGATGATATTTTTGGGACGTCTACCCTGATATATATAGTATTTTTTTGTCGAAGACTTTTACTTGCTACACATATTCGCAATTCACTTTCGAATAGATATGAGGCCTTTCTCAAAAGTCTTGCAAGTATACGGTCCATTTAAAACATATAATTTTCAATTACAGCATTAAAAATCCCATTGAAGTTGGCGGTAGCAAAAAGCATGGACAATTATCGAAAACCCCCGTTTGAAAACAGTGCTTTGCTCTTCACTATATTAGCGAAAAGTTAGTTATTGAAACAGTGGTGTGAGGGATTCTATGTTGAAGCGTAGCAGAAAATGAAAACTAACACATGGAATATTTTATCTCTAAATGCTGCCAAAGCATCAAATGTTCTGTAAGTAGCCAAGCAACGTTGAAAAAAAATCTGATCAAATTGAAGGACCCACTCTGATGTGAAAAACCATGGAAATATTTGTCGTCATGCTCTACTATGATCAGAGTTGAAATTTCGTGAACAAATTTTGGCTGCAAAAATTTAATTTTTTTTTTCAGGTGATGCACTTTTCTAATCATTAACTACTTTAAATATTCTCCGTCTTTGGTAACAGGATGGTAACTCGCAGAACTTTTGAGAGGCTCTTGGTGGTGCATTTTGTCGACAAAATTCGAAACCCCTCTCAACACAAGTTTATAATTTAGCATTATCGTGATTGTTTTTCTGCCTGGAGCGTCATTAAAAATTTCAACATGTAAAACCGTTTTGCTGCTGTTCATCGATTAATCATTCACAATAAGATACAAAATCTAAATAAATCAGAATTTTCGTTCCGGAAAGGTAAAGTCAGAATAATGAAGCACCTTTTGTCAATTCAGCTTTTGCCACAAAGGACTTTTTGTTTGTGTGAAAGAATAGACGCAGAGAATGGCAACCGGCAGAAGGTACTTGAGAATTAATTTTTTCTCCCGTCTCCCTTTTTTTTGAACGTGCTTTATTCACCTTGTGGATCTGTTAGAAGAAAAGCGTTTGAAATACCCAGCATATTTGAGATCATAAGTACTCGACGATATCACATTTGATGGTGATGTTGGGACAGGAAGCGACCGAGAATTTCCCCTGGTCGAGGCTGATGGCCGACGATGACGTGGAGCTGAGCCCACGCTGTCGACTCAGCAGCTGGTGGAAGATCGGCACCATGGCACTGTCGTCAACCTCAGCAGCAGCCAGTACGTTGCCACTCGCTGTCATGGGCTTGTTTTTGTGCTGTGCAGAACTCCGGCCTCGCAGGACCAGACTCCTGTGGTACGGGAACGGGTACGGGTATTGGTACGCAAACACCGCGGCTCCACCGCTGGTGCCGCGTCGCCGGTGATGAGAGTTATTGGTGGTACTCGACGCGGCGCCTCCGCCGTTGGTGCCTGATGAGGATGATGGCGGCTTCGGGACGCCGCTGTAGGTTACAGCCAGATGCGGGTGGTTGGAATGGGTGCTGACGAGGCCGCCCCCGAGGCGGGGCCAGGGGTCGGGCCCGAGGGTCGTGACGTGGGACAGGGACGCGGCTTCTTTCAGCGGGGGGTGGTCTCGCCATCCGCCTTTGGTCTTCTTCGACTTGGGTGTTATTTCCACTGACAAACGAAATAAATAAGATTTCTTTTTTTATACCCGAACTTCAAGGAGGTTGATAATTTTTAATTATTTCTGGTTACCAACGTAACTCGACAACCGTCAGAATAACCTCAGGGATTCAACAACTGCGCGAATAATGAAGAAAAAATGAACTCCAAAAATTCGTTTAAATTTTAATAATCCAGGATTGTGTTTTCTTCAAAAGATTTTGTGATTTGAAAGTGATACGAAACTTTTAAAACGAATAAAGGTATCCATTAAACACAAGTTGAGCCTCGATTTTTTAAGATCATTTCATGTGAGAAAGTGCGAATTACCTGCGTAAAAACATCACCCACAGCATGAACACAAAAGTGACAGTGCTATACTTTGTGTTCAGAAAAATGTTCTCGATGCCATCATAATAATGGCATTCAAAAAAGGCAGTATTTTTAAATGTCTGTATAACATCTAAGTATGCGCCGCAACTGAAATACAGTGATTCCATAGCGTCAAGCATTTTCTCTCGTACCTATTTTATGTTTTGCTCATTGCATGTGTAAAATGAATTTTCAGCAGTAATCCGCCACAACCATTTGCTGGCGCACTGTCACTTATTTTACAAAAAGAATAAAGCTGGGGCTTAACGAACTGCTTGGCTACTAAATACGTTAAGGCCCCAGAAGTATGCGAAAGAAGACTCAGATCTTGATGTAGATTAAGGTCGTTTTGTAAGGTTAAAAAATCTGCAACTGTAATTTCATGAAATAATTTTTTATGCAACGTCTTCATCATTTTTTTTCGGGGGATGCACTTTTCTATTAATTAATTTCTTTAAATTTTATCCGTCTTTGATAACAGCTTTTGGTAACTGGCAGGACTTTTGAGAACATTTTGAAGAAAAAATTAAGGCAATTAAAGTACTGTAGAATTCAAAAAGTCGAAATCTCAACCCTTTCTTGCAGTTTTCACTGCACAGCCAAATTTAAGACAACAACCTTAATTTGGGCAGATATTCGAATGCGTTTCCCAATGTGCAATTCCTCGAGATTAATTCAGAAAGAATGACGCACCGACGGATCGAGTCTCATCGGCACCCAACAAGCTGTCGGCACGACTGAATGAGCTGGCGGAATGTCCATCGTCATCGACGGTGGCAGCGGACCCTCGCCACCGATGCCTCTCCGCTTCCGACGACATCTGTGGTCCAGTCCCGCAAACTTTGCCAGCCAGCTTCCTTTCCTCGAGTCCTAGATGGTCGTCGTCGTCATCATCATCCTCTGTGGCGGCGGCGGTGGCGGCTATCGCGGCGTCCTCGTCGTCCGTCAAGTTGCCGTAACTCACATTGGAGTCCGGCTGACTCGCCAAGGAATCCGTGCGGCTCACCGACGAACTAGTGTCGCTCTCGTCCGGCGACGACACTGACGACGTGTGATAGTGATGCAACTCGACTGCCACCCGTTCTTGGCACAGCCGAGAGATGTCGCCGCTGCCTCCACCACCGGTCTGCAGGGACTCGCTGTCGCTTTCGCTGTGCTGCACACGCGGCGTGTCCAGGGACTGCGTCGACGCCATGTTGTTGTTGTTGTTGCCGGAGGCAAGGAACTCGACGGACCCGTCGTCGACGATGATGTCTTCCAGCTCGATGCTCTGGTTCAGTGCTACTGAGGACGAGGAAGGTGCCATGAAGGATAAACCTTTGAGTTTGTTGCGGGTGCTCCGTTTTTTCCTGCGTGATGGAGGCAGGATCCCGTCTGCGGTTTGGGCCCGCTGCAGCTGCGAATTCATCAGCAAAGGATTATAAAAAAAAGAGAGCAGGAATTCGCACACAGGGTGGACTGAAAAATATCTTGAAGAACAAGTTCATAAAAAATCCATCTGTGCACGCTGAATAATAATATAAAGGTACCCTTTCAGAAAGAAACTGGAGGTGAATTTCATGAGATTTCTTTGAAAAACAAAAAAATACGGTTACAGTACACTGTACATGGTTCATTTTTCATTTTTCTATGAATGAAGGAAACTCGAAGGAAAAAAAAACTGAAGATAATGTTATTGAAGCATGCTTTCTTACGTGGGTTGAAGGGATTTCTACAAAATGTGTTCAAATAAGAAGCATAAAGTATCACAAATTAATTCTGAAGCAGCGAGATACGTAGCAAAGTTGTAGTTTTGAACGATATACTTTATTGTAAACTTCAAGCTCTTCTGATGCATTTTTTCCAATTTTCTACAATTTGTGTTACAAGATTTTAGAGAAAAACGAAAACTATGAGTGGCGACAGAAATTATCTTTCCTGTCTCACATCCGCGCGCCCTAGGTGAACTAAATGAAGTTGATCATGATGCTTTTACATTTTTTTTCGCTGATCACAATTTGGAATTTTCATGGTGCACCCTGTGTAGAAAATTCCCTCACTGGCCAGAACATGTCTGTTGATGGATGAGCAAAACCCAACACAGAAAAAAAGTAGAAAAACACCTCGCGAACTAATTTGATTTCCTATTCCGCTGTTTTATTTAACAATGTTCCCTTTTCTGCACAGTGGATAATAAGTATAAAAATGAAAAGCTGTAATTTCTTCCAAACAATGACGCCTGTGTTATAATAATTACTCTTGAATTTAATTCAATTTCCCCCCTGAGCGACTGTGTGCTGCTGAATGCATCATCCATATAGCTATAGGAAACAAAAATTTGCTTAGCGCTTCTTTATACGCAAGGAAAACGAAAATTTCATTATATTTTTTTGATTTTGCAGTCGTTGTCTCGAGTTCTTTCTTCCAAGATCTTCTTGGATGTCCTATAGTCACGAGCGACTACAAAAAAAGCACAATTCCGAGGATAGAAATCTAGTATCTATATAAGCAGCTAAAATAAAATTGTTGACCCATTGAAAGATGATGATTTATAATTTCCGAGATATCCATGTGCTGTATACAGCTGTATATACAATTTTTTCCTTTTTTAATAAATGCTCAGACATTGTAGCTAGCAAGGTAAATCACGATATGCAGGGTTCAAGGGTCTTGGCATTTCCCTGGTACTTACTATATACGAAACGTATGTCAGGATCATATTTCTTCCGCAGCAGTGAATAAGCACTCGTACGTCTACGCCGTGTCATATATCGGCTGATAAATGCGCACAATTTCCAGATCTCCCAAGACAATGCTTCTATGAAATATCAATGCAATTCTCGGGAGTAAGGCTCTAAGATGGAAAACCGTTGATGCCCCCCCAAGTTCGCCAAGTGGTGGAGGCTTCATTTCTCGTCGCTGGGAAATCTCAGCCAGCTTCCGGGCTTATACTCATAACTCGGATTAATAATATACGCTAGGGAAGCTCATTTACGGCGTCAGCAATAATCATCACGACCTTCAGTATATGGCCAGTGATGTGATCAGGCCACATACTATGAACCAGAGGCATCGAACCGCGTAGACTTGGGTGAACGCGATGCCTCAGGAGGAGGTGCCAAGGATGAGGGGAAGAGTTGAAATACCCGTGATGGGAAAACAGGGCAGGGATCCGTCTTATAATATGCGATGAGCTTCTTCATGCCCAGGTTTAGTTACGTAGAATTTTTACGAGGGCGAAAACGAAAGTTCTGAGACTATATGATAGAAAATATGCCCTGAGATTCGAACGATACAAATAAAATGGCTGATCTGAAAACAAATGATCTTTTCCGCTGCGCATTTGCATCGAATATCCGAATTAAAATTACGAAACCCACATATTTCGAGAAATCACTGGAGTTATTCAAAATTTTCAGCTATAAACCATCTCTATTGTCTTCAAAAAGTACCTTCACCTTATTTGAGGTTGAGCAGCTATCTTCAATTGTTGAAGAGAATTTCTTGACTCAAGATCTTTTTAACTTTTTCTTTATTCGACAAAAATGGTCGAATAAAATTTTCCTTCAAATTAGGAAAATTTTGGGGCCATTAGCTTTTGATTATTTTTATGA